GGAGTGTAACCTACACATATGTCCCACGAATATTCTGCATTTTTCAGTGATGAATAAGAAGCGAAATGTCGAAGTTCCCCTTCTTCAGCACTGTACTACCGTATACGCTTGTCGAAAAATTCCGAAAGTACCCTACAAGTAGGATAATTACCATATAATCATCAACCGTGTATTTTACCCTTAGCTATTTGCTCCTTAGCCATGTCGCCTAAAGTAACGAGTGGCAAGTGCTTTTGTATGAATGACGTGAGGATATTCGCTCACTCATTTCTGCACCTGAGCTTACACCCAGCACAAAAAAAGCCCTCATGCTGTGGGCTAACCTCTTTTCGCAACGGCATGTAAAAGACGCATTCTAATGTAAAAAACAAAGCATAATTACACGTTGTGATGACGATGCGATGAAGCTCTGCATGTATGACATGTGTATCGGAACGGCTCACTAGCGCCCAATGTGAAATGACCGAAATCAGTGACATCGCGAGGAAGCTTAATGGGTTTTCAAATCAAAGCCTATTGGGAGTTTGTAATAGATGCTCCAGCACATTGCCATAAAAGCCGAGCATAATGGTTTCTTTAGCACTGTCGTGTTCCTGCGTTCATGTGCAGTAATTTGTGCGCTTGATAAGCGCGTCAGCGCGCACCGAATGGCACAAGCCGAAGAACGCATTTTCCGTTTCGGGCCTCACCCTCTGTCCGCCCAATCATCGCCTGTATCGGCCTGCATTACAAATAGGCTGGCTCACTTAGCCGCCTAATTGACTCTTGAAGATCCCCGTAGGCAAACTTAGTCGGATTATTAGCACGACATGCCCTTGTCTTACATCTGTTGCTCTGACAGACAGAGAGAAAAAAAGGCGGGGATGGGGAAAAAATCGACGCTTTTTTGTCCTCGGAACCAAGATTATGACATTTCTCGGATGTCAGAGACTCATTTTGATTTATTCTGCCTTTTTTTTTCTTTGTTTCGGATGCTGTTCTTGTCACCTGCCACTTAATTGAAGTGCGAGGCACCCTCATTTTTTTCCCCGTTCATGCGTCATTTGCCAATAGTCAACGTGTTCCTGGGCTCTCGTAGGGAGAAAAGAAAAGAAACAACTATAATTGAGAGCTCTCTTCTTTTTTTCCTTTTTTTCACTCTATGAAACATTATATTAGAGAAATAAGGCTGAGCGTCACGTTCTCTGCACATATTAAGTCGTCCTTGTCAGCGTGCTGCAGTGCTACAGAAATCGTATTTGTCACGGTCAATAAAGTTCATATATTCGTGATTTTTAGGTTGCCACTGAATTGTCATGGTCGTGTTTAATTTCTGAACGTGCGCTTTGCGTTTACAGGGTAGCGCTGAAATCCAAGTCTTAAGATAACCTTTGTGGACAAGGCTGTGCGTGATAGAGAGGGTGAAAGATAGAGAGTGAAGTACTCAAGATACCAGAGATAATTTTTGGAGTCTACCCTACGGCTATTGAATAGCTGGCATAATATAAATCAGTTCAACAATAATAAAAACATGCAAACAAAGTGTTAAGCTATGGTTGTAAAATACGCGAGGCTGCCGCAGCAACTTATGTCAAATCAACCGTCTGGTCGCCTAAGCCAGTTATCTATTTTTGACACAATTACGAGCCTTCTTGGAGTGAAGAAGGTGAAAGTGTTTATCTATTTATGAGTGTTATTCATTTTTTATGCTGCTTTTGGTATTAAAAGACGCGGAAAATAACGACAAAAAAAGTAAAGAGCCCTCGGTGGGAACTTATGAACAGCCACGTTATATACTTTGCAGATGTTGCTACTTCACAGATGATTGGATTAAAAGAGAGATAATGAAGGAAGAGCAGTGATGTCTAAGCCTTTAAAAAAGGTCCGCTATGGGCCACAAATTGCTCAGGAGTGTGCTCTTAGTTGATTCAAATTGTTATCACTCGTAAATAACGAAAAAATACCTATACTTTTCTTGGTAAACTTATTGTTTGAACTTGTTACCTCGTCGAGTCTATGCAATGAATATCCACCTGATAATGATGAGGATATGGAGGCATTACACTGCGCTAACGTCAACTGCAGCAGAATAATGAAGCGACAAGGAACAGTATTACGATTATTGTTGCTATTAGCGCTTGTTCTGTGTCCTCCGCTTGTCTTACGCATACGTGCTTTTAGCGTTTACAAAAGTTATGGATCAGTACCCAGTGCCTTCTGCGGTATTACGGATCATCGCTTCTTCACTTCTACATTGCCTTGCAAGCTCAAATCACAGCATAAGCCCTACCGCCTGCGTACTCTTCTTGCAACTTAAACAACGAATCTTGCACAACCACTGCAGAACATGCCAGAAGATTTCGGAGCCACGCACGAGAAAAGATCATTTGATTTCAACCGCCTCCGCCACAATTTTGTAATGCCATTTACATAATTTTGCACGTTAAACCTTTAACATGGAGCCTGAGATTTTCTTTGAATATTTAGCCATCTCGGCGAGTCTCTTACGTCACATGGTCTCGGCTGCGTCATACTCTTGCGCCTGTAGGAAGACTAGCAGTCTCCGAATTTCGCGGTTTTAATAAATTTGTTGACGAAAATAGCACGGTCCTCTGCGGTGTTCATGCTCTTAATTTAGCGCGCGTATCATAACATAGGTCGCGCTTTTAATCTCGTTTCTGTCGTTACTGTGTCTACAGCCCTTAGCTCAGATGAGATAGCTGGAGCAAGACAAAAAAAAAAAAAGGTAGAATTACGTTTTTTTTTTTTTCTTTTACTGCGGTGAAACGCTTTAGCGTGACATACCACGGAAGCACGCTTTGGCGGGGCACTTTTCACTGACCTGCTCTGTCTTCCCACTCCGTGATCTGTTTCTTTTGAGCCTACAGTCCTCTGTTTTTTATTGCTGTTTGCTTGTTCGACAAGGTATCCTCACTTTATGGTACTGCTGCTGGACATATTACGACCTCTCGATAAGACCGCAGTGGGTCCCAGTTAGTTGGACGCACACAAAATTGCCTTCTAGATTTGCGACTAGATGTAGCGTTCATCGTGAAAACTCGAGCGAGTAAAAAAAAAGAAAATAGGTGAACACCTATACGTACATGTTTAACTTATCGGCCAGTTTCTCTTGCTTTCTTTTTTTTCGCTACTTTCTATGTATTTGGGGTGAACAGCAGAAAGTGTGTGGCAGACGGTGCACAATGTGTACCTATACGTGTAAATGAAAATGGCGTGGGTCTTCATATTTATCGTTGTTGTTTGTTTACTCCGAAAACAGTAATTTCTGTCGCCTTCATTAACAGCCAGTGGTGGGGCTCAAGAAAAACACTAGCTTTTTTTTTTCTGTCCTCTTATATAGAAATGAGATGAATTGCGCACGCTGCTTTAGCAAATGATTAGCATCATAACCTAATTATTAGGGAAAAATCAATTTAAAAGATTCAAATTTTGAAAAGACCAAAATGTCGCGCCAAAGTTTCGCACGTGGCGTCAAAGATTTCAAAGTAGTTTTCGCCTTTTTGCGACATTGGCTCAACAAAACTTTTTTATACTTTGTATGTTGAGTCTGTGGGCACCTCTAATAACAACGTCATTCATGTTTGCCGATTAGGAAGTACGTCAAACCTACTGGTTGCCGCCAAAATATTTTCCGTCACGTGGTTGGTGCGGGAATTTCTAGGTGGCGTTGTCATCCCTATTTTACTTTTCCTTGTTCCCTCCCTTACCAAGCGTGTTCTCGCGTAATGCATCGCGATTTTAGAATAGTGGAAGAGCTATTTGCTATTGTGAGAAAAATTGTTTTTTCTCTTTATTCTCCCTACAATAAGTCAATGTGACTCTTTGAAAGCCCGGTAGTGGTTTGGATGTACGAATGGCATGTATTTGCTGGTTATTCATTTATTTATTTTTTTGCATGTTCATAAGTTGCTCCAAGAGTAGCTCGGAATATATGTTTGTAGCGTGGAGTATGAAACACAGAAAGGGACACAAAAATAATAATTACAATATAATCTCCAATTTCCTTGATTAAAAGATTGCTATCTGTTGAACCTCTGGCGAAGAGACTTCATGTTCCAAATTCTTTTGCGTGTTTTTTTTTCTCTTGGTTGCAGTGACGTGTGGAGAGAGAAGAAGGGAATCTTATTTTGCTGGCTTTGACTTGGCGCGGTTGTTCTGTATGTTACTTTCTGTTTTTTTGCCTATTTCTCCCATTTGTTTTTTTTTTTTTCGTATTCTACCAGCTGCTTGAATGCTCATTTTTTTCTTTTTTCATTCGGTATTTTTTTCCACTAAGAAATAATTTGTTTGAGATGCGCATCCGGGAACGCGCGAACGACATTTCGTCTTATTTTTAGTTGTATTTCGATGTTCTCGTGTTTCTTTTTTCTTCTCCCCTCTTGAACTAAAGCTCACAAACGGATGAGCGAAGCTCTTTCATGCACTATTATCTTTGTTTACCACCGAATTTCACGAGCAAAGCGAAAAATAAAGATCTCTACTACTATACTACTACTACTACTACTACTACTACTACTACTACTACTACTACTACTACTACTACTACTACTACTAGTAGTAGTAGTACTTACTACTACTAATACTATTATTACTACTACTACTTCTACTACTACCACTACTATACTACGTGTTCTTTGCACTGCGTGCGTGCCACGCTCACATTAGGCGCACGGGAACGGTGCACCGCGGGAATGTTCAGCGCCTATACACGATTAATTCACACCGGCCTCTCCATGACACGAATTTGAGCATCCGCGTACGCGCGCAAACAGTTCCACTCTTGCAGGAACTGTGTCAGCGAGGCTCGCCAAAGTTTTCAAACAGTATAGCGATACACGGAACTCAGACACGGGCCAGCTCACAGAAGCGCCAAGTGGCCTCGAATGATGCCCGCGGCCTTTCGCCGTTAACACGTGTGTAGCGCAGAAGAGATCGTATACATTTGTGATGAGAAGGGAGGGTGTGTCGTGTGCTGCATTACTTACGCCGTGCTCTGCGTTTCTCTGTGCATCTTCTTTCTCGCAGGAATCCCGTCGAGTATATCAACGACCCTGGATTCGTCGCTGCGTGTTAGAAGGAAAAAAACAAAAAAAATTATATGAAGATAAAGGGAGATACGGAGGACTTGATATTGTGAAGGGAAGGAAGAGACGTCGACGGAAAACTTGGTTCGTGATCCCTGTGGACGCCGCCGTGCTCGCGCACCGGGCAGCGCCTCGCGGCCAGGCCCCACGCGGCCAGCTCGAGGAGCCGCCGCCCTGCTACCCTGTGACTGTGATGGACCCTGCGAGCGTGGTGCCCGCGCTAAGTGACCGTGGACTGGCGAGATAAAAACAACTAAAAAAACAAAAAAAACATGCACTGGTCGGCTGATTTCTCCCGCGCAAGTCGCGTGCACTTCTTCGGGGCCCCAGCAGCGGCCTCCGGCGAGACTGACGTGACGGGTGGTGTCGGCTCTCAAGGCCCGTGCCTGAGCTTCCGAAGGTCTTCTCCACGTGACGCCTAGGCCAGATTCAGAAGACGTGCCTCATCGTGCTGGAGCGGGCCTTTGGGGCTTGAACGTTGCGGTGAGTGAGCACGTTGCGCGCTGAGTCCAGCTTGTATACAGCACCACACAACTCCAGGAGTCTGCGCGATCTCTGTGTACAGGTGGGGTAAACTGGGACAGCATGCTCTCTTGAGTTATGGGGAGAAAGTGATGTAAACGTGCTTTTATGGCTCGAGAAGATAACTTGTCATTTTTGTAAGTTTTCGACTGCACTTTGATGCGTTCATAAACGCTATTAGCATCACTTATTTTCAATCAACGGACAATCAAGCCGGTGATTGTATATATGGGACATTTTTGTAGCAATTATCACATAACTATGAAGAAAGTAAAGGAGACAAAAAAGACAGCTTGTCAACGGCATGGAACGAACCCGCAACATTCGAACCTTCGGCAGGGACAAAACCCGCGACCTCATTTGAAGGATCCCGGGTGGCGACAAGTTGTATTTTGGTGCACTTTGCTTTCTTCACAGTTATCTCATAATTTCTTCAAAAATGTCCCCTATACTTTCCTCGGCTTGATTGTGCGGTATTTTATCTTAGGGTGTGTAACAAATCAAACGTGCTCCTCCTACGTTCTTCTTCTTTAATTTAACTCGTGTCATGTTCTACAGAATGTATAGTTATCGCCATTGCTTCGTTGCATATATGATGGCTAGAAGATATTCGCCAAGATGTACTGGAGTATTTGTCTATAAAAAGCTTGCTGCCTCCGAAATCAGCTAGCATTGACGCATCTTGTTTGTTTGCTAGTAAAAAATACAAGCTCAAAACAGCGTAACTACTTCTGTTCCCACTTGAGTTCTCAAGAAAGTACGTTATGATTCGACTTGTGTAAGACATCACCTATTTAGTAACTGTCGAGGCTCGTAGCTCTGTGTAGATCCGCACACTGCACCTTAATTTTAAGTTTCCGATCTTCAGCTCTCCGGCAAGAGATGCATCCATAACAGAACATTAAGCGCTTTTAAAATAGCGTGCGCGTTAATGTAGCGAGCCAGAAATGCATGTTCTCAGAACGATGAATATATGAGCGATCGACTTTGCTGCTTGGTAAGCTTGCGTTACGGTAATTGCGTGGTTTGAGCGTGTACGTGCATGTGAGCTCCTACACAGTTCTCGAACTGCGGTATGACATGACGATAGTTATAGCGCGAGAACAGAACGACGACAAAGACACAAGAAGGACGCGAAGGACTGCGACGTGGCGCAATTTTCTGCTACGCATTGCAAGTTGTGTCACAACCAGGGAAGAGAGTGCCCGAAACGAGAATTCCGAGCACGATAATACCACACGAACCTATCGACACGTCACGTCATCATCCTCGCATCCTTCAGTGCTGAGTTATCTCGATAAGCAGTTATAGCATCAAATTATACTGATTTTTTTCATTGGAACTGAATTTGAAAGGTGAAGGGCTTCTTTTTTTTTCTCAGGACAGCTTTTTTTCTCAGCGCACATTTCATAACGGCATATGTACTCTGCAGTATTGATTATAAGTAAAAGTGATTTAGGATATTAAAAAAGCTAACTTGTCCACAAGACTTGCAAGAAGGAAATCAGAATGAAACTGGTGAAATGCGAGATTCTCAGATATAGGCTACGAGTGGTTCGGCATCCTTCTTGAATTTTTTAGTGTGTAAAAATGAACAGATACATTCGAGGGAAACAAATAACGCCTGCTGTATACAAGTACACAAAACAAGTAAAATAATTAATAAGGGTCTGAAACTGAAACATTATTTGATCTGAAAGCCTAATTATTAAAATAAGATATATTGGAAGTGGACCACAGAAAGACGCAGGAAGTTGGCGAAATTAAATAAGCGCAGTGTTGTACCGGGTGTGCTCTAACAAGTTCAGAAGAGCTTGGAAGCGCTTGGAAACTTAAAAGCCATGTCAAAGCCGTGGTGCGTAATTGTGTGTAATCTCAGATTAGTTGCGGACAAAAATTGGACGAGGAAGACGTATGCATACATGCAAAACGCGCTGTGCGCCACTGCCTCTGAAAGCCTCTATAAATGAGTTATGGCGACCAGCATCTCTGCGCGGACGTCATAACTTACGCCGACGTCTGGCGGTTAACCCGTAACACACAAGACACGTCTTTTCGGCGCAGCTGTCGATGAAATGAGCGCCAATGTGAAGCGCACAGAACTTTACAATTGATTATCCATCCAGCAAAATAATTTTAAAAGCCAATGTAGTGCATCTGTGTGAAAAGAGTTCTTTTTTTTTTTTTGGGGGGGGGGGGGGGGGGGGGGGGTTCTTTAGCCGCGTTTTTGAAAAGCTCTGAATTCGACGCGGGCTTCCATTATCGCAGCTCTCGCTGCGCTCCAGCCTTTTTCTGGCGGGCACGAGATTTTCAACAGCTGCCAATAAAACATGGCTCCGAATTTTGTGCTGATCCTGCGTCTCCCGAACGGAACTTGTAACCGCTCCGGACAGGTTAATTAGAGGAACATTCATTTGGCTGTCGATTTCTGCGTCTCTGTGTGCGGTTGTTTGCACGCGAACACAAACCCCCGTTACGGCTCCTATTCACCAAATTTCATGTTGCTCCATTTGTTTTCACTCCCCACTCTCCCACTCCTCTCGCCCCACTTTCTTTTTTTTTTTTTTTTTGTACTTCATCTCCTTCTTCTACTAATGCGTGGGATGTCTGAACGACGAAAAGTTTAAAAATGTCCACTTGATTTTTTGTTCGCCTATTCCTATTTCGTCAGTTTTTCTCTTTCTTTTTCAAGTTGAAGTGCATATGAACCCTAATGATGCGGCGTAAGAAAGTAATTTAAATAAAATTGAAAATAAAATGAATGTTTGAAAGGTAACTAGGAGAATAAGTCATTGGGGAGGTTCAACGCCGTTTTCTTACAAACGGCCGACATATTGTGAAGTCAAGAATATAGTATAGCGAAACAAAAAAAAAACAATTATACTAACATATGAAGGCATATCCCAAAATTTAAAAAAGCAAAGCTATTTTCACAAGAACTTACTCACCTACTGGCTCTAAAGAGATCGACTAGAAAAATGAGCAGTGCTATTACATCCTTAGTGGAAACGGAAGACCATTGAATATGAGCGTCTGAAACCCTGAAGATTGTAATTAAGTCGGAAGATTCAAAGCAACGAAAGAAGACTACTTAATAGGGCTTTACTCTGTCTTGAAAGATAATGACATGCTGAAAAACTGACGTAACGATCAGTTTTCAACGCAACAACTTATGTGCAGCTAATGACTTGTAGTAAGTTATATTTTTAAATAGATAATAAAGTTACTTGGGAATGAACAACACGAACGAGCATGAAGGCCGGCACGAAAACGAACAACGTGTGCAGTACGCATACGCGGTGGAGTATATACACAAAAAAGAATGCGGACGCGATTGGCATGTTAAAAAACATGTCAGAAGAAGTCCCGAAGCGCCGAGTCTGTGGAGAATATACGGGCACAGGTTATAATGGTAGTGTTATTGTTTGTCCCTTATTTGTTTCCACGGTAACTGTGTTCACTGCACTTTATGTACCTTTTTTGTAACCAAATACACGCAATCATCATTTTATGGAACAAGCTATTAGGGGTGACCTAGAATACTCGTAGATGAGTAACGTTCAGACAGGAACATCCGCACACTTTTTATTTGCTTCGTACGATACGTAACACACTTCACGAAACTAAGGCCCACTAACCCCGACTGCCATTATGGTGGCCTGTTTGGACGTTTGTGCAAAGAATGCACATGCCAACAACCAACGCTTCAAGCTTTCTATTCGCCCTGGTGTGAGTGCCTTCGCCGAGTGCTGGGCTTAACAGAGCCAGGTGCGAGAATAAGGCATTAGGTAAACACAGTCTTGAGTGGAAGGTGTTTATGAGTTATACAGCACCGACCGTCCCACGGCATTGAAGAAGTTTCGGTGTCTCTGCTTATGTTTTGACATAAAAACGACTCAAGGCGACCGACAAGGATTTTGAGAAGTATGTGGTGAAGGTACACATCGAGTAGAGGACTGCCTCAGAAGACGTAATGTTAACAAGAGGACGAAGAAACGTCACTTAGTTATCTATTACTTTTCAGTAAGTCTTCATTCTGTGACAGTTATTGGTTGCCATATTCAATTTTGAATTGAGAAATTGTGATTGCGATATATCAAGCTTTTTCTATAACGTGTACATGGGAGTTATTCCTTTAGAAGTAACTGTTCACATTGATCAGGTTAAAGATTACATGAAGCAGGAGAAGACACCAATTTGCAAAAAGTATGCGTTCACACGTGCATGAAATTGCACCGCCATACTCGTTCAGCAGCATTCACCAAATCGCACGTTAGTACCCAAAGTACACATGCGATCTTACTGATAGCGTCGTCACAAGGCTCACTTTTGATATGTAGCAATGACACAAAGGCCACCTTAACTGCTCCTTCATTTAGGTATAGCCCATCGTATACTTATATAAACTCAGAGGAACCAGCTGTTTCTCTCCTTTCTGAGACGTTCCCCTGAAGTAAATGGCTGCCGGTTATTCAAGCGAAACCAGTGGTTCTACAAGCACTCTTGTGAAAAGCAATGGCGAATTTAAACTTACAGCATTCACAGCCTTCGCGTTGCATTTGGCGTTCGTCCAAGTGGGTTATTATCAATTTTCCTTAGATGGGGAGATTGCTACTTCAAGTGCTGGGAGTTGAACCCCGACATGGGTCTGTAAGGCGTCCAAAAGACACGGCAACACATCCCTGGCGTTTCTTATGCTTCCACGGATTCCCGAACCTCTCTTAGTTCGTAACAGCGCCTGCGCTCACCAACCACTTCATCCTCAGCTATTTAGCAGATATTTACATTTTTTTTCTCCCGAGTGACCAATAAAAAGCTACAAGGCAGCGAGCATGCTATTTAAAGTAACTGATTTTGAGCATCCAGCTGCCTACGTCATAAAAAACAAGAAATAACAAGAAAGCAGAAAAATATTGTGTTCCCATTGGCTCAATGTAACTTCCCTTTCTTTTCATTCTTTC